AAAGTTGGCAAACTGCTTCCTCTCAGTGTACCACAGTAGTGGCAGCAAAGGAAGAAGAGCCCTTCCAGGCACATATGTACTTATGTACGTTGATAGATTTGCATGCATGCCCAGGCCCAGGCTCAGTCCCGGATCCGGAAATGGAAGAGTGGCGGCGATGGAGATGTGGATGTGGATATTTAGAAAGCTCGCTGATGGCATGTTTGCGGTACAGTGTGCAATGCGTTTTAATGAGTTTTTTGTTCTCCCGTAATTATTTTGCAGTCTGTTATACTTGTATGCGCAAATATACGCTTTCTCCAAGGACCGGCAATCAAGCCTCCAACCATTTTAATGAGAAAACGGAACATTTTCCGCAGCAAACGAAACTCTTTCTCCAACAACCAACACTGCACTTGGTAATTGTGGGGAAATCGTTGCTCTTTTTATATATAAACGAAATAAATGAATGCTTGGGAATATGAAAAATGCACGAAACTGCAGGTCTATTAATCTTAAGTGAAAGTGGAAGTCCGGGAAATGTACTGCACACAATAATGATTTATTGTTGAACTCTCAAATTAATCTGACGTGTCTTTTGCAGTTTGGAATTTATATTTGAGTTTTTGACTCTATTTAAAGAGTGAATTGCATTTGTCTGTCAGTTTTCCTTGACTTCAGGGAAAGCTACTCTTAATATTATGTTACTGTTTATGTCTACTCGGTTCATGGCTGATAAGAGCCAGAATTTGTGCCCTCCCCTCCCCAGTGAGCACAAAAGATACTTGAATTTTCGTTTGAACAATTCATTGGCCGTCTCGGATTCCCTTCCCCCCTGTTTCTGTCAGCACAAAAGGTATGCAAATTGAGCAGAAATAACAAATAAAATTGTTGCTAATAAATACAAATTGCTAATCCCTTTTGTTTTCGCTTCAATTGCCCTTACAAATTTCTCTCGAAGTAAGCAAAATCCCTCTTGGACAAATATTTACAGTCAATAATCTACGACCTGCCCAATATCTGAATGAAATAATTTCATAAATCATAAATTACTATCGAGTGTGCTCTGATTAAGGCTGCTGCTGCCATTCTACGGCCATGCAATTAGTAAATTAAAATGCAAATGCAGATGCCGTGCAACAATGGGCTGATTCCGCTTCAGATTCAGATTCTGCAACAGTATAAATCGCCCCCACATGTTCGACTCGGGCATTATGTTGTTGCCATTTCATATTTACATTTGTAAAGTTGTAAAATAGTAAAATTGAACACATGCTGCCACTCCCCATTCCCATTCCCATCGCCATCCCCAACCCCAACCCCATCCCTTTGTGAGCCCATTTTGAGCGCTGCCTGCCTCGGGAGCTGCCACTGGAAAAGCATCTGTCTGGCCAACGTTCCGCCCAACTGGCAGACTGTCCAGCTGTCCAGAGCTGTCCCACATCCCTGCTATTGTATACATTAATTTGATTTAAAATGTACAGCCGCAGTCCCCGTCCTCATCCATCGCGAGGCATCGCTCTGGTGGCATGTCGTCCCTCCCTAAATTGCCATTTGTAAACAATTTGTGATTTGCGAAATTCCGCTGGCTGGCGGGCCATGACGGATGTTTGGTTAATTAAAACGCGATTAAAGGCATCGACAGACACGGCTGAATGTGCAAAAAAAAGATTCGCCGGCGTCAGGAAAATTTATTAAACGCCATTTATAACGATGTCAGCGATTTGGCACGACAGAATGTCCTGCTCCTCCTTCTGTGGCGTGTTTTCCTGCATCTCAATAATATTTACTTAATCCATGTTCACAGGGCACTTATTTGAATTAAAGTTGGCTTCGCTTCAAGTGCAATGACCCCGAGGGCTTCAACAAAATAATGAAATGATTTTTTAAGCACGAATCAAAAAATCAAATACGATGCTTTGGGAGACCCATTCAGCCTTGGAAATGCAATCATATTTTTGTAGTAATCTGATAATAATTTGGAGCTTAGTACCAAGTTCATTTAGTGGGTATTACGCATGCCTTTTATACATAATGGAGTCTCTGTATGTGAGTTTCTACCCAAAGAAGTTATTTCTGAATTATATAAGATGTAAAAATAATTTTAATAGTACAATATTATACAAATATAGCCGTACTTATATTTATATTTCTATATTCTTCGTTTATTTCTGGTATTTGGACCGGGGGGTAGCAGTAATTTTTGGGTTCACTTTAGCACAAGTAAAGTCTCTGCAAATTGTTTAATTCCTTGGCAAATCATAAGGGAATACTTGCATGTTTTTTGCATATGTAGCCGCATACCCTTCGCCTGTGGCATCTTATATTTTTTTTTTCATTATTCATAGCCCATATAATGGGATTCATGAATGATGTCATTGTTCAATGATAATATTACGTAAATCGTTGGGGCATTAACGTATATCGCTTATTCATATCATCCAGTGGTTTCGATTAAATCTGCTTGTGCAACAAAGACAAAGACAAACACGAATATATACTCGTATACTCGAACGAGTACTCGCCTGCACACCCCTCGTCCCTGGCCTTTTCTGACCAGAGAATGCTATTTCCATATTGTTGCTGCTGCCGCTGCAGACGAACCGAATTTTGTTTTCAATTTTCAACACTTTTAATAGCCAATTAATTAAACGGCCAAACAACAACAGACGACGCTACGAAAGTATCACTGAGAAAAAATAAAAACAGATATCGAAATCGAAAAGAAAACTGGTATAAACTAAGAGAACTATAAATGTCTACCAAGGGCCGTCAGATCTGTATTGGCCAAGAGGGATTTCCGTAGTGCTAGATTCGAGTTTATAGAACTTATTTTAGGTTTTCTTTGGGACAACAGATTATTGGAATATTCAGTGGGGCGGACACTGTTTCCCTCTACTCCTCTGTCCACGGTTTATATCTCCTAAATTTTTTTCTCTCGGTGTACATGTATATATGTATACATATATTCATATATATATATATATGCGGCTTGTGTGTGTACACATATTTACTATGTGGAGAGAAAAAATTTAATTCCCCGCCGGCTTTTGCAGATGTAGCAAACATTTTTATAATTGCTGGCGGAGCTTTTATTATTTCATTGCCAGCTGCCAGCTGGCCGAGAGCCTCCAGCCCAACGGATCTCCTCTTTTCCCACCAGTAGGTGCCATAGTTTGAGCTGAGAAACTTTTCGCTATCGCTGTGTGCATAAATCGTTGAAGTTTCTCATAATTTACGAGTCTGCTGGCCAACAATTGCTAAATAATGATTTTTTAAACAAAAGCCCGGAACAAAGTATAAATTATGAATAGAAAAGAAAGATGGAAAGAACAGGCGAATCGGGGATAGAGTCAATTAGGAAGATTACTATTTATGAGATTTACACGCCACACACACACAGAACCCACACAACTACTGCCAGAGAGAACAGGACCCCTGTAGACCCCTGGAGATTAGTGGTAATTTGCAGTTTATCCTTGGCCTAGTCTTGGCCCGGCCAGACAGAGAACGGAACGGAGATGGAGTCCCGTCAAAGTTCCGTATTTATTTCTACGCATGAATTATTTATGCGTCAAGAAGCCCCCCAACTGTGCGGACCCAACTTTGGCTTTGTTAATTGGTAAGGGAAAACTTCTGCCCTCATACCCTCGTTGACACTCCACGTCACCCTCTCCCTCTCTCCGTCTCTTACGTGTTGAAAGTTAAAAGTTTTCAGCATGTGTCAAACGCTCTTAATTTTCTCCGAGCTTTCATTAACGGTTTGAATGAATGAATCAAGACAATACTCCAGAGTTGGAGAACTTGACATTTTATTACGTAGAAGAGGAGACCTGTGACTCGATTCGCACTCGAAAATGCAATCCGACGATATTGAAGGACAACAAGTGGCAGTGAGAAAGGCCACAAGGCTTGACAGCCAATAAAACACACGAAAAGGCTGTGTTCTCCAGCAGATATATACATATATGTGTGCACATAAGGAAACCGAGAAAAAGGGTTCGCACACAGGGCGTATGAGCAACCAACTACTTCAAAAGCGTATCAAGCGGTCAGCCATTGATTTAGTTTGATCCCCAGGTGGGCGTAGCCCAACGGCCAAATGGCTTTGGGCCGTTGCCCGGGCAGCAATTAAAATCAAAATCTCATATGCACAATAAAAGGCGGGCAGCCGGCATCCGGAATGCCATCACGGAATCACCCATCAAGGCTTACCGAAGCGGCAGGGGCGGACCCCAGGACTTGCACACATTTCTGCCTGATTAGAGAAGGGAAAAGGAAAACCTTTAAGGGAAATTGGCGCCACCTGCGACAGGTGACAATTTAATAAAGCCCCTCCAGCCAGTCAGACAATGACAATTCGCATTCATATTGACTTTTGCCCAGAAACAGATGTCCCAGCAATCAATCCGCGAACAATTTTCGAAAGAATATAACGAAAACTGTCAGTGGGGATATTAGATATTGCTTCATAAGCAGAAAACAAAGCAAAAGTATCTGGAAAGCGTTAAGGCGTTTTACGAATACTGATGAATTTATGAATTTTAAACCAGATTCACTTCTTCATTAATTTATAAATTTGATGCCAGTCGAAGGAATAATTCTCAAAAAAAATGTAGAATTATCCAAAAAAGACTCACAAATATCTAATTATCCAAAAAAAGACTCACAAATATCTAATTGCAGTAAGAGTGCCTGGGTGAAGCTTCAAGCTGCTTTTCCGTGTATCTATTTGTATCATTAACTTGATAGATGGTTAGATTTTGTCTACATTTTGGACTTTGGCAAGAAAAAGGACTGTGGGAAATCGATTGAAAGTACCATCACATATCATACATCCACGAAATCGTTTGAGAGATACTTGGAATAATAGAACAGATACAAAATGTGGCTACAAGTATCTAAGATTCAGGCAGGCGTTCATAGGGACAGACGGGCATTTCTATGTATCATTATATAAATATATATATATAAAATATATATATAAATATATTGTTTAAGTAAATCAAAACTGTACTCACACATTGAGAATGGCTCTGGCTCCGAGTGGCCATCGAGGGGCGGTCACTATGTGCTGGCCGAGTCGCCTAGGGGCGAGGCTATGTTGCTGTTGCTGTCCGACGTGGAGAGTGGCCGACAGATGCCGATGCGCGTGAGGCCTGGCGGCATGGCCTTTAGAATGGAGACTGCCTCGTCCAGTTCGAGGCCTTGGAGCAGATGATCGCCGACGCTTATGAGGCGATCGCCCGGATATATCTCGTTGGTTGCCTCCGCAGCACCACCGCGTATCAGGCCGCGTATCACAATCACACTGCCCTCCGAGTCGAGCGGGTCCTGGTAGTCGAGAATGGAGAAGCCAAAGCCCTGCTCCGTCTTCTCGATGTCGATGGCCGTCACCTCGCAGCTCCACAGTGCCAGACCGGACACGTTCTCCAGCGACTTGGAGCGCTGCTGACTGCCGTTGCCCGCTCCTCCGGCGGCATCCGTCAGCGTCGCCGTGCTGGACGTGTACAAGGAGCTCTCCGACTGCGCCTTGCTGAGCAGGTTCTGCAGGCTCTGGTGGCCGCCTGGCAGGAGGCTGCGCGTCTCAAAGGCCTCCGCATTCTGCGAGGTGTTGATGACGGAGGGCACCCGCGTGCCCCGGGCACAGACGAGCTTGACGCGCGCGGGCAGCTCCTTTAGGATCTTGACCACGTCGATGTGGCGCAGTCCCTGGAGCTTGTGCTCGTTGACCTGGAGCAGCTCGTCGCCGGGCCGCAGGATGCCCTGGCGGCCGACGGGACCGTCCTCGAGTATGGAGCGTATGTAGTGATGCGGACGCTTCTCAATACCGCACTCGACGTCGACGGTGCCCTCGAGGCTGATCCCTAGACCTGAAAGTTTATTTATTTCGGCAACTAAAATTTCACTGTCGGGAAACTCACTTTTCCAGGCCACCCGCAGCGAGGCGGCGCTCGGGCTGGCAGCCTTCTCGACCCGGTCAGCTTTCCCGGCTGCTGCCCCACCCTTGACCCCTATCGCCGCCCCATCCAGCTCATTGGTGGGCGTCCGACTCTGGGCGGGATCTGCATCGGTCTCTAAGTCGCGCTCCGGCTCGGGCTCTGGACACTGCTCGTCGGTGTCGTTGCCACTGTCATCCGCCGCCACCCGACCGTGGCACTTGCTCCGCACAAGCTGGCCATTGGTCAGAGTCGAAGGGGGAGGGGGACTTGGGACTAGATTGGGAGATTTGGCCGGCCGGGGCCCACTGTGGTCGCTGCGGTCCAGCACGTGCGACATGTTCGACTCGACGGTGTCCCGCGAGGGCAGATCGGCCAACTCCAGCGGCTCATCGTCCGCTGCTCCGGCCTCGCCTTCCGCCTCGCCCTCGGTGGCAATGGAGTCTGCGTCGAGGGACTTGGGTGGCAGCCAGCTGAGCGTGGCTATCGAGGGTGATCCTGGCATCGACAGCTGCGACTGTCCGTCGCCGTCGCCATCGTTGTCCACAGTGCAGGGGGCGGGACGGCCCTTGATCTCAGTGAGGGCCACCTGCAGGTGCTCGAACTTGCGGCCGCGCAGGAATCGCTCCAGCGTCAGATGCACCTCGATGTCCGTGTTCCGCAGCAGCTCCACGGCCTGATGGTTCGTCACGCCGGACAGGGAGCGGCCATCGACGGCGACGATGCGATCGTTGATCTGGATCTGGCCGCTCGTTTCCGCGGCGCTACCCTCGATGATGCTCTTCACGAAGATCCCGGACAGGTCCTCCTCCTCGCACACATAGCCGGCCACTGTAATGCCCAGCCCGTAGACGTTCTTGTGCAGCTCCACAACGTACGTCTCCGTCTCCGGGGAGTCCATGTACGAGGGCGAGGCAGAGGCGGAGTCGTCACCATCGCCGTCCCCCCCTTCGTCCTCCTCGTCGGCCAACAGTTTGCCGGCTATCACAGTCTCAATATGCTGATCGTCTTCCTCCTCCTGCCCGTCCCGGTCCCTCGTCCTCCAGCGCGGCTCCAAGGCTAGCTGCAGGGCGGGACGCGGCGGAGGCGAGAGTATGGAGAAGGGCACAATGTCCAGGTCTCGCGGGCACTGCCGCCCGTTGGCCTCCATCGAGCTGCTGCTGTGGCTTCCGATCATGTGCGGGGGAATGGGTGGCAGGGGGAAATCGGCCAGTTCCGTCAGCTCGCCCAGCTGTAGGTGTCCGAGGCCCAGCGGCTCGGCCGTGGCCAGCTCGGAGCCATCTGCGGGTCCGCCCCGCACCAGACCCACCAGATTGGCGACGTCCACGGAGCCCGCAGCTGCAGCCGCAGCCGCAGCGGTGGAGAAGCTCGGGTTCTGGAAGAGATGACGCGACAGTTCTTCCGGGTCGGAGAGGAGCTTAGTTGGTATAATCGGCGCATGACTGGCCAGCGTTTGGTAATCGATGGCAGTCGGCTCTACCGGCCGCGCCACTATCAGACGCACCTGAGCTCCGGTCTGACGAAGAACTGTGGCCACCTGCTCCGAGCTGAAGCCGCGCAGGTTGACCTCTCCGATCTGCAGGAGGTGGTCGCCTAGCTGGAGGCGTCCGTCCCGCTCGGCGACGCCACCCGGCGTCAAGGCCTTGATCACCACGCCCGTGCTGCGGCCGCCCACCAGGATGAATCCGAGGCCGTTGCCATCGTTGATCAGATCGATAACCTCCACCTGTGACCATTCGGTGCTCAGGACCATCTTAGGATTGGTTTTGGTGTTGGTTTTGTTATAGGTCTCTGGATGGTAGTCGTTGCTGGTTTAGTTAATGTTGCAATTGCTCTAATTACTGATGTGGCAGTTTCTGTTGTTGTTGCTTCTGTTGTTTTAGCTTCTAACATGACGCGGAGTCCCACTCTGGTTTTTGGCCGTTATTCGGGTGGTGCTGGTGGCAATACTTTGTTGGTTTTGTCGTTGGTTGGTGTTATATTGTTGTAATTGTTGTTGTTGCATCAAATGTGACAATGATGAATTTGTTGCTACTTTTATTGGTATCGCATAGAGAGTCATTCGAGTGACAATTACGGCCTGGCACGGGAACTGGCACGGACTCCGCTCCTGGCACAGCCAGCGCCAACCGCATTATCAACGACATTGACAGCGACTTTCACTGCGACTGCGACTGCGACGACGACAACGACCGCAACAGCACAGCGTACCTGTAATTATGTTAAGCACGCCCACACGCACCCGAACACGCACGCACACGCAGGCAAACAAAAAGTTAGTGGAGCACGCGGCGTATACGCAACGCCAGGGAGCCAGGGAGTGCTCGCGTTGGAGGAGTCAGGAAAGCGCGATGCGATGCGTAGCAAAGCGATTTGGCGAGACACGGGTGTGAAGCGAGAATTTAAATTGCTGCCCCGCCAGGCATAACATTCTTCATTACTTTCGGTATGCCCTCATTCGAGGTATTCGAAAACGATCAAATTGCTTGTAGAAATGGCAGGAAATACCCGTGCTCAGGGGAGAGAGGCTACGGTAATGCTTTGGGGGCTCTCTTGATTATAGTTTTCCCTTAGTAAGTTGCTGGGGAGCTAGAAAAGGGGATAGAGATGTACATAGAAGAGATAAGAGTGGAAAGCGAGAGTCGTTTTGGTTGGCTAGAGGCTGCTGTCGGACTCACTTGAAACAGGACACACGTTGCCCTGGTAGAGTGTTTCAGTAGTAGAAATTATACAAATTATATATTATATTTCAATAGTCATTGGCTCCAACAAATATAGGTAGTTACGGAAGCTTGAATTCCGCTTGGAACATAATAGAGTGTTGAAGGTTCCGCTCATTTACAGGAAAAGTTTCATGATAGAAGAACTCTTTTATGCTGTTCAACATATGTAAAAAAAAAACTGTTTTTACTCCCAATACTCATAGGGTTCAGGGGTATATACGATTGTGTAATTGTATGTTACTAAAGGGAGCGTATAATATAAAGTATATACTTATAAAGTATATACATTCTTGATGGCCGAATTGATTGCGTGTAGCCCAATCGATATAGCGCCTAGATCTCAGAGACTATGCGTATGAGTACAAGCAGCAGCCATAGGGATAAGGCTTTGGGCTTTGGTCTTGGGCTAAATCGTCCGTATACATTCCGACATTCACTCGAAAAGAGTGCACCTTCAAAAACTCGCTCTCGTGTTGTTGTTTTGTTTGTTCAACTATCTTTTTGCAATGCAATTGAAGAGTTTTCATATAATAAATCACAAAAATCATCTAAAGATTACAAATGAAATACAAAATACTATCATAAATTATAAAATGATTCAGTTTCAGTTCCACCTTTTAAACACACATTATCCTTTTATTATAAATTTCCATTAATGACAAATAGGTTCGTCTTCCCATTTTGTAAGTTCCAACTTTGTTCTTATGGAACCTTCTACAAATGTTCCAGCAAGCCTGCTAGGGTATGCAGAAAGCGGCACTCGGTAGGTGACAGACTTTTCACATGTGTTTGCGCTGATGTTTTTCTTTTTTCTCTTTTTTTTCACTTTTAATGGCGCCTTTTTTGCACGATTTTGTAATTTACATGCACACACACGCACTGGTTGAACGGATACTGTGTGTGTGTACGTACCTGTGCCGCTCACGTGCCACGCATGTTTGCCACCAAACACCCGGACTCTTGCTCTGTGCTCTACCCCCAAGGCCCGAGGTAGGGCAGGAGCCCCATCAGCCCCCTGGCAGCTCTAATTGGAAAATACCATGCAAAGAGCCTCGCACTAGGTTGTGGTTCAGTGGGAAGCGAATACTTAGTGTTGCATACTTTGCGGCGCCGTTTCAGGCAGTCGGGAAAACAATCTGCAATCGAGCGATAAGTTTCGAGCAGCCCCTCCCCTGCGACTGCCACCAATCCCTGACAAGCCATATGGCCAATAATCAGGGGGGTGGATTGAAATCGTTCTGCGGTTTTCAATTTGCTTTCTATCGGCTCCTGGCTGCTCCATGAAGCTCCTGGGGCTGCAGCCCGGCTGTTGGTGATGGCCAATGTCAGAGACGTTACCACAGTCACAGCTCTTCGAGGAAGGTTATGAAAAGTATTTGTCTCCTAACAGAAAGGAATAGTGGAGAGCATTCAAGGCGAGCGGAATTAAAGCAGAATTTTCTTCTTACAATAACAGCCATAAGGGAACGTGATTCGATGGATCCTACAAGTTCCTGTTGAAGTCTATAGTATGCTTTTTGCTTGATATATCCTCTTGGCAAAGTCCTACATTTATTGATTAGAGCAATTAATTTCGAAACAAAGAATAAAACCTTTTGCTTAATGGTCGATTTAAGGTCTCCCAAGAGAATTTTTGTTGTGGAGAAAGTTAAGTCCCACAAAAACGAACTTTTGTTCATGTTCCAGCTAATTTACTTGTCATAGATCGATAGATATATACACTATATGGATCGTATAACTTCTAATGCAATTCAGCAACCAGTGACGACTTTCTAAGCACATTCCACTAAGGATGAATACACTTCAAGACCAAAGGAACACCAGTGCTCCATGCATCTCTGACCGCTAATGGCCTCCCTCACAGCAGTGGGCTAAGACCTCGAGCAGGGCCATCAGCCTCAGCCGCAGTCGCAGCCGAGCTCGAATCATGGCCAGTTGGTTGCCGTTTTAATTGTTGTTTTCGGCTGCTCCTTGCTGGGCTTTCCGAGTGGGCACAGTGTGGGGCCGTGAGGCTGGAGCCATCCATTGTTGGCCATGTCTGCCAATGACTGCAGCTGTCAATTAAACACTGATTGACTTTGCATTCACTGGACGGATTGGCACACGATGCGTATGGTTAACGTTGTGCCTGTGCCTGTCCCGGTGCCTGTGCCTCTGCCTGTGCCTCAACTCGAGCCTGTGTCCATGTCCGGGCGGCTGTAGTGTAGTCCCACACCGCAACTTTTCACTCTTTGCCTTGGCTTTGGTCATTTGTTTGTGAACATGCCCGCTTGCAGTCTGTGCCCCACTCTAATCCCCCTTTGCGTGTGTGCCTCATTTAACTTGGTTGCGGTCCGGCGGGTGCGCAGGAAAACGGGCTGTGGACGGACGGGGATTCGTGGAGTAGGAGTAGCTGGTGTCCCAGGCCCATTACCCAGAAAGTAGGCCAAGCGCGTTTGAAGTTTGCACTGCGTTTGTGTGAGTGTGTGTGTTGGCTGTGTCTGTGTGTCTGTTGGATATTTTTATCCGCCTCAAGTTGAGCCAGAGGGTACCCGCTCCCTGCCTGTTAATGCTACTGCGACTGCTGGCTACGACTGCTGGCTGTGCCAGTTCTCGGTCTTGTTTTCGCTTTCCGCCAACTGCCTACTGCCGTTGGCCACTGTTGCTTCTAACGCACTTCAAGCTGCCGCGACGCTGACCTACTGAGCGTTATTAGCCGGCTCACGGCTCGAGTTGGCCTGCGCTGCCCCTGCTAGCCAAATGGCGATGGCGTCTGCGACTGCGATGGCGATGGCGCTGACGCTAGCTTCCTTGGCTCAGTCAAGCGTCGAAAATCGATAAACAAAAAACGCGGCGAATAAGAAGCAAAGGTTATGCGAAACACGCCGCACCCCTGCATACCCTGGACAGTACTTCTAAGTCCAGAGATACCCTAGGTACACCATTACCCTCCAATTTTGTAGTACATATGGTAGTATTTTTGTTGTTGGTGGAAAGAAATCTGCACTACAGTCTTTTTCAAGAAGACAGCATATTTCAGGCACGATTAGGAAAACCCATTATATATATTGCAGAAAACCTCTGAAATTCACCTTGGAAGCATTTGTTTCGAAGTATGACCGAAAGGGACTGCTGTCCCTCAAATCAAGAAGTAAATTTAAGCTCAGATCAGATGTCCTATGAAATCCCTCCAGTCACGCGAAGAGGCAAAACACGAAACATCAACAGAATATTTTAGATTTCTTTTCTCGCGGGGCAAACTTATGCTCAGATGTCCAATGCCCCATCAACTATATTTTTGTTGGCTATAACTCTTCTTTCTAGGGTTTCTAGGGTATCGTCCGCGAGGCGGTTTAATCGTACTCCTTTCAGGGACGGAGTGCACGCCCACGCCCAAGCCAAGGCAAGTCAAGACTTGTCAGCCATCGCTCTTGCCGACGGAGCCTGGTCTAGCCGCATTGTGGCTGGTGGCTGGTGGCTGGTGACTGGTGTCGTGTGGCTGCGCCTTTTGACCTGCCTACCCGCCCTGGCCCCACGCAGGCTCTTAGCCAAATTGCTGCAGCCAAAAAGAGAGGCGAGCAGCAACAACTGGGGGAAAGAAACTTGTAAACAGGCGGCACGCAATTCGCAATTACTTAGGCGACTCCTGACGCCCTCCCCCCGCGCGGCAGGGACATTAGCGCAAGCTGGGGACACAGAAATTCCTCCAAACTATTTCTATTGATTTAACAAGAGCGGAAGCGAATCGATCTCTGGGACTTGGCCGCAGCCGGCACTGGCCCTGCGTTCCCTGACTCCTCCTGGGATGCGTATGCGTGTGTGTGGCGGGGATGTTTAATTGGCTGCCGCTCTAAGGCCGACTTCCACTCTCACTTCTGGCCCGGTTAAGGCAGGCAAATGGCAAATTACCCGGACTGGCTGGCCAATTTATGGGCCAGCAAACGGTTTCCACAACGTTTTGTGGCACTTCATTCACGCACTTCATAAACACATAGCCAGGCGATGGATAACGAGGGATCGGGGGGAGCGGGAACAACGGTCACGGGAGAACGGGAGTACGGCGGAACGACGGAACGACACTCGTATGTTTGCTCTTTGTTCTGGCTCTATTCTCGGTTGTGCTTTGTGCTCTGTGCTACTCATTAATCAGTTTACGCGCGCATTTTCCGGCTCTGCAACACGCCCGCACGCCACGAAGCTTCTTCGCCAAATGAAGTGCCCGCTGGCCAGATAGCCCAGCGCTCCGGTAGCGCTCCCAGCTCTCTGCTGTCCTCTCTCCATTGCCCCGACTTGCGGCACGTGGCGGCCCGGTGGGCTTGGCGGTCGGGGGCTGGTCGGAGGCAGCGGCTCCTCCGCTCTCCGCCCATGCGCAGTCGCCTGCCACATGTCTCCGGGATGCACTGCGAGAGATGTGGCCCGACTATCGCTCGCAATATTTACAAAATGAAGCTGCCATGCGGCGGCATTTGACTACGCTTTGCCTTTCATTCAACTGTCAGTCGGTGGGAGAGAGCACCGAAAAGAGAGCCTGAAAGCTGGCGAGAGAGCAAAAGCACTTCCGCACAGAGCCGCTGGGCGAAAGCTTTCAAAAGGGGGACAATTAAAGCGAAGGACTCTAAATTGTTGAAAAGTATTCCAACATTATGTAACTATGTTATTCAACTCAGCCCCTTATCATAATCTGTCAAAATACACATTGCATAGTGTTTAATGTGGCTTTTTCCGCCCCAGAGTCAGCGGAAAAGAGTTCGATTGCCAAACCACTATTGACGAGTCACTGTCCAAGTGATCACCATCACTCCGGGTGCTTCCAAGGTACGGAAATTGGTTGTTGTTATCAAACTTGGAGCCAACAAGTGCCGGACTACACGGACATTGCCGACAGCAGTGCGGCTGCTGAGGCAACCAACAAACCGCCTGCGCCTGCTCGGTTGTCAGAGGCAACCGATGGCGAAAATAAATAAATGGTCAGGCGGCAGGTGTCGGGTGGCAGGCGACGGCAGGTGTCCTGCCTCCATTGACCGACCAGTCGACGGTTGGCAGGGCCACCGCAAGGCCACCAAGAATCAAAGCCGAAAGAGTGTGAAATGTGATAAGCTTCCTGGAAAACAAAGTCTCTCAGTGAAAAGGGGAAAATTGCGGTGGACAGTGCGGAGAGGAAAAGAGCAACTCTGGCCAGCACCGGGCCCAAATCGGGGGCAGGCCACACATGTCAATCAAAGCTGTCAAGGGAGTGACGAGTGACGAGAAGGATCCAGGAAAAATGGAAATCGAATTCCGTTAGCAACAAACCACCACACAGATGGCCCTGCAAAGTAAATACTGTATAAATTTCTAGGTCTCCCCATAATACTTCACAGTTTCGGCAGTTTTTGATAAATAATACAGAACGATACACGTATTCCGAAAGTTCTCTCCGGTTTGCAAAATAAAAAAAATATATGCAAGAAAACGAGAGCCTATCTATCTAAAGAACTTTAACTAAAAATATTAGCCGTCATCGGAAACTTTCTCTATTCGTTTGGCCGAAAAATGGCTGACGTCGATGAGGATTTTTACGTGGACGAGTCCTTCGAGGACGACTCGGATATCGAGGAACAGGAAGACGAAGCGGAGAGAGACAAGGGCAAGAATGATGACGATGACGAAGACAAAGACGAGGACGATGACGATGACGACGATGACGACGATGACGACGATGACGACGATGACGACGACGACGACGAGGAAAGTACGCCAGAAGATAGCGAAGATAGCGATGCCGACCCCAAAATGGAGTTCCTGCTCGGCAACGTAAGTCGGGAGGCTGTGCCTCAGGAGGACCTAACCATTAAAGAGTTTAGCCTCGATAGCAAAACCAATGCCCTGTCACACCCACAGCCACATGCCCGGCGACAGCTGCTTCGCTCCCTCGTTAGTGCCCGCGCTTACGGCCGCAATATTCCAACCTATTCTAGCTCTTCGTCCGATGAAGAGAGTCAGGTGGTCATTACCAAGACGGTGGCCGAGGTGAATTCGTTGGCCCTCGGCAGTGACGCGTCGGTGGAGGATAGCCCGGAATCGGCGCGTACCCTCAAACCAGGCAGTGCCAGGGCCAAAGAAGACCTGGACATTAGCGAGTCGGACGAGGAAGTGGACGATGAAGAAGAGGAAGATAAAATGAAGTATGGGGACGATATCGGAATCTTGGAAGAAGACGAAGAGGACGTGGAAGAAGAAGAAGAAGTTGAGGACCAAGAGGAATATTCGGAAAGCGATGACGCAGTTGACTCTGACGAGGAAGCTCATGAGTCGCCCGATAAATATATATATGGAACCGTTGTCGAAGTGGATCAACAGGAACTGGAAGAGGACGAGGAGACACATCAGGATCCGGATCCGGAAGAGCCTGAGACCAAGACCAAGACTGATCCGCCGACAATCGTTGCCCCAGCCGCCCAGAACGTCATCACTGTGGAAGATGCCAGCGACAACAGCAGCGAGTCCAGCACCAAGTGTGCTCGCAAAGCCTCCCCCCGAGGTTATGAGACGGACATGAGCCTGATCGACAAAAAACATCCGTCACAGCTGCCGGTGGAGGCGAAGCTCGAGGCAATCACCGAGCTCGAGATCGAGATCGACACCGAGACCGAAACTAAGATTGAGACTGATACTAAGACAAAGCCGGTAATCGAGCCACCAAATTTGATCTACGATCTCACTAAGGAGCAACTCGCAGCGGCCATGCCGCCCATGTCCCAGCTGGAACAATTTATCAGCGAGATGAACATGAACGTGCCAGACAATAGCTTTATGATGGCTCCGGATGTGGCGGCCGTCAAGCTTCTGGAACGCCAGATGACTCAGATGTCTGCGATTATAATGAAGTCAATCCGCATGAACGGTGGTGCGGTCAACAATCGAACACTTGATGGACCGTCTATGCCAACGGACATGCTGCGGGAACGAAGCCCACAAGTGGAAGACGCTGGAGCGGAGTCGACTACGGAATCGAGCCTGACGAGCAGCTGTGATACTGGCGATACTGGTAATACTGCTGAAAAGCTGTGGACAAAAAGAATGGATCCTCAGGGCTATGAGGAGAATATGAGCTCAGTGGGTTCGCGTTCCCATTGCCGTTGTCCTTCAACCACAGACTGCATGGAGACGGACCCCGAGCCGGAGACGGTGATGGATGCAGCTTTCTATATGGACGAGTGCGGCCAGGGGGACGGCCTGATGCGTCATCCGCACCAGCGGCGCCCACCCGAGTTTCAGCACAGCCTATGTAGCATCACCCCGAGCAGCTTCACCAGCGATGACTGTGCCCGTGTCATCAATCTCCCGCGTTCACGATCGTCCACCGAAAAGATAAAGTGAGTAGAGTAGAGTTGACCGGTTTGTTTGACTAATGAACTACTAATCCTCTGCCTGTTCGATAGCTACAAGAATCTGGGCCGCAAGAGCTTCAGCTTCACCAATGCACAGATGCGAGAGATCGAGCGGCAGAACCAGATCTTGCTGCGAAAGATGATGACGGTCAAGCCCACGGCCACGATCAAGGCCAGCACCAGCGCCATGAAGTGCAACAAAAACGCGACTTCCAATGTGAGTAATCTACCCATGTCTGATATGTACCATCATGGCCGCCTATTTCTGTTCTATTCTATCAGCTCCCGCCACCTGCAGCAGCGCGTCTGTCCAGTGCGGCAGTCAATCGGAAGAAGTACCAACGCCAGATCGATTTGGAGAACGATTTGATCAAGCGCAAGCTAAATGCTATACACACACGTCGTCCGATATTCAAATGAAGCCCTGTTGCGGCAGCCCAAACTGTGTTCATAGTTTCATGTTTAGTAATGTTTTATAAGAATTTACGAATTAAAATTTATTGCAAGTTGAAAAATGTATAAAACGATGTAAACTTAATCTATAATCTGTTCCTATATTAAAAATTGATTGCAGTTTGAGAAAATGATTAAAAACCTCTAGGGGAATAAATAAATTTGATACAAATAGTCTAAATAACAAGGACAGTCAATGAAATTCGATAATAAAATATGAGTCCTACGTTATAGATATAGGTAGATTAAGTTGATCCCATCACAATGTTATTTCATTGATTTTCGAGAGAAACGTTTCCCCCAGACCCTTGACTGCTTTGAATGCCGCCTCTCCATTCTGTTCCTTGAACTGCAATTCGTTTATCAGTTTTTGCTTTTCGCGCTGCTCCAGATCGCGATAGATGACTTGTCCAATCTGAAACAGAAGCTAATTTTGAACTCATCTGTTTATAGAATGCTAAGGGCTCTACCCACATAGACATCAATGGCGGCGTACATCAGTTGGTTCTCGTCGAGGGGAATGACATGCCACTTGCTCATTCTCACTTTCTTGCTCTTGTCCATGGCCTTCTTAGCTATGAAGTTGGCCAGTCGCTCCAGACTCCAGCGGCCGCCAGTCTCGCAGATCTCGTTGCACCACACGCCCAGATCGACGCACTTTTCGATAAGTGCATCGGCGGACACCTCGGGAAAGTCGCGCTGCAACTTCCGAAAGTCCCTGCAAATTTGGGAAATCATTGGATTAATCAAGTTCAGTTGCAACTTTGCTTTAAAATGTTACACTAACGCTTTTATGTTGACGCCGTGCAGGCGCACTTTGGGATGATTGATCAAAGCCACCAGGGCCGCCGGCAGTTTCTTCAGGTTAGTCAACTGGTAGACGTAGCAGCACTTCTCGTCCACGCAGATTTGAATGACTGAGGATTTGCCAGGTCCGGTCTGGAACGAGAAGGGCCACTCCATGTCAAATGCCATGGGGACCACATCCACATCGGTCTGTTTGTCCACCCATTGCCTAATGTACAAACGAATAAGGCAGTTAAATATAAGCTATCTTTGATTCCATGTTTTGTGTTGCTTACATCACATCGTCAGCGGATGCGGCAATGTCCTGGTTCTCTGTGAAGTACTTGATCGCTCCGCGGTACTTGATAAACGGCAGCTTTTCGGGCTTCACCTTCTCCGGCGAGGGTGTTCCCTCCTCGGCCATCGATCGTGTGCTCCGAGTCAAGCGGCCACTGCGACGCTTGGGCGGATTCTCGCTCTCTGCGGTATTTTTTTCCGTATTCTGCGATTCAGAGGGCTAGATAATGAGGGCGCCAGGTCATTAATTGCTACGCTTACCACTTCGAGTGTATCTAGATTCTTTCGCTTGGCCGCTGGCTTTGCCGATCTTCCCGCTCTGCCCTGCTTTGGCGTATCGTTCTGAGCGTTTTCCTTCTCTTTAGCCTGAGATGAAGAAATAATAATTAAGATAACTGAAAGAAAACTGAAATGAATTAGGTGTTGGTGCTTGCCTGAATAGGAGTGTTTTTATTCGACTGTTTAGCAGCTGCCTTGGGGGTCTCCTTTTTGACTATCGGTTTCTACAACATAAAAAGTTTATCCTGCTCTTCTGTTTCACTCCGACAATGATTAAGTTCATACTTGCTCTGGAGTTTCGTTGTTTTTATGCTTAATAGGCATTTTGATTAAGAATTTATCCATTATCAGGCCACTTGTTTGCGTCGTTGCTTTGTTTATATTTTTTTCCCGCCAATAATACGTCGGTCAAATGAACTAGCTGAACTAAATAGTTCATTCGATTTTCATCCCCTCTTCAGCTCACACACCTTGCAACTTCCACATATTCTTTCGGTATACTGAAAAAATATAGAAAAATACTAAAAATTAATCGCGTTATTCGTATAGGTTATTTTTATTGACTTATTTTGTTTAAGCCTTGTTTTAGTCCAAATACAAAAAAAGCAAGGACTAAAAACTAGCCAATCTTGTAGAACATTTATTCATCAATTGCCTAAAATTATGTGGGCAGAACTAAGGGTTTTAGTTAGCCAGAATTATACAACGGAATATACAAATTGAACAATATGAACCACTGTTCTCTTTCGTTTTTTTGTGTGATCTATTATGCTAAAACCTTTTTTGTTTGACCTATTTCGCTAAAACCTCTTTATATGCAAAATGCAATAAAAGCAAGTAGTTAACATAAGCCAGTTAAGTAAAAAATTGATTCATTAATCGGATTAAGTTATGTGGGCATGGTTGAAAATTGTATCTAGCTAGTAAGAAGATCAAAAACGAGGAATATGTAAAATAGAATTTGAATTCGTCAGTATATTTACGGTATATTTTTAAATGAGACGATATGTTTCGGTATATTTCTGAGGTTCGGTCACACTGTATACGATAGCAAGCAATTTTGTTTATATTTTATGTACCGGGTTAAAGCAGCTAAATATGTCTTTTCCAACGGTCTCGTCCCACTTCGTATCGGAGAAGATATCCTCCGTCCGGTGGCTGCCGGAACAACTGCAGCAGAGCGATCGCTTCGTAACCGGCAGCTGGGACATGGACCAGAACTTTGTGCGCTTGTACCGCTTGCAATCGAACCAGTACGCGGACACCAACGTGGATTTCGTTCCGCGCTGCAACGACAAGGTGGCCATAGAAGGAGACGTCACAGCAATGGAGTTCGCCGACAAGAACACATTGGCCGTGAGCTGCGCCGATGGTGAGTTCTGTCCATTTCATTTAAAAACGAAATTAACTAGGACCCTCCAATTACCAGGCCACCTCAGTTTGCTGAATATGCAGCGTGCCGTGGAGGAGGATCAGCTTCAGCGCACAGCACGCAGCGAACGACTGCACTACTTCAAGCGCACCAACAAATCCTCACCGTGCACCGACCTTTCCGTGTATGGCGGGGACATTGCCACCGTTGGCGAAGACGGCTGCGTCAACATAATGAATGCCAGCAACATAAAGCAAGTGAAACGCACCATAGAGGCAGATAGCATGTCCCTGCTCTCGGTGTGCTATATCAGCCAGCAACAGTTGGTCACTGCCAATCGCATGGGCGTGATCCGCATCCTCGATGCCCGCGCTTCCACCGCGGCGCAGGAAAAAATTTCCATCATGGTGGGCAGCAAGGACGAAAAAAGTTCCAACTATGTTTCCGCCCTGGGTACGCATCCCATGCAGCACCACATTCTTCTTTGCGGCACTGAGGAGGGCACTATAACGGTGTGGGATCTGCGCAACTTGCAGTTCCCTGCCTCGTATCTAAGTGCACATGAAAGTGCCATTACCGACATCGCCTTCCATCGTAACGATCCCTCGAAGGTATTCACAGCCGCCGAGGAAGGCGAGGTCTGGATGTGGTCGGAAAACAAGGGGATAGGCGACCGAAACCTTCACGATGGCAAAAGCGCCTGGCTGAGTGGGGATCGTTTGCGTTCGCTGGTCAATGTGGATGGCGTGTTGACCAGGATTCGCAAGGCCATCAATTCCTTTGATATGAATGGGCCGCGCCTCATATGCGGCGGGGACACAGAAGCTGTTTATTTAGTAGATAATATTTTTTGAAGCAATATCTGTTCACTGCCATTCAAATACAATTTTTCCGTTACGCCTCCTCACTATACTATGTATTTTTAGAGACAATATCGCATTTCTTTGATTTTGAGTGTGCCATTAGCGATTGGGAATTCGGGAAAAGAAGCTTGCAGCGGCAGCAACTATCCTTCCAGTTGTGGTGTCCCATTATACGTTGGTGTTTCACCATATTGAGTCTAACAAAAGAAAAAGAAAGTAAGCTTACTATTTCTTTTCGGACCGAAAGACTATTTACTCGGTTTCGAACCCGCGAGAGCATTGCTTCCACGCACATCGGAACTCCTTGAGATAATTCTCTTTCTGGTGACACTTCTGATGTGTATTGCGATCGTAGCGGCTTGCGAACACCTCCTGGCAGAAAAGGCACTCGTAGAAATGATCCTCTTGGTTCTCTCTTAGTCGATTGCGGTGATGTTTTTGGCTGGTCGAAGCCGAACCTCTTGACTTATTCGAGTCCTGCACCAAAGGTAAAGGGTCGGGCGGCTTCACCTCCGGCGTGGCATAAACATAATCCAGCACCAGGCTCAGGCCCAAGGACATGGATACAGCCATACAGCTGGGAAAAGACGAAAATTCCATACTTCAGTTCTCCTAAAGCCCCGTTGCAAGTAGTCACCTTTTGCACTCAGGCACGTCGGCCATTAATTGATTAGTAATTCCTTTTAACAAAAGCTGTCAAAAATAAAGTAGGGGTACTCTGTGTTGCAATAACTTTATAAATACTTTTCGATATTTATTATTCATACTTTGCTTGGTATACGCAAACGTTGGCTTAGATCAATCAAAGCACCTGTCCTAAATGTAAACTTAAACGCTAAAACTATTTATATGATTAACTTGTAAGTGTGTCTGTGTGTGTTTAAATTTTCTCATTTTGGGTGCTGCTGTGTTGTGAGTGTGTATCCATCTGACTTAATGTCTACTTCGTTGGCTAATTTTTTTGAATAGATTTATGCGTGTTTTTCAACTACCTTACATGCGTACGAATGTACTCTATATGTATATATGAATGCTATGCGAATATAATAAATACAATATGTATATATGTCTATATGTATGCATGTATGTACAGTGAAGCACTTAGGGCTAAACCGGATACGGATCCGTCGCGATATTTGCTTAATTATCCTCGATCCAACAGAAACATCAATTTGAGCATTTTCAACTGCATTCTGGGGCGGCACTTGGAGGCTCTCTCTCTCTCTTTGAATATTTAATGTTTTACCGTTAACAACTTTTTAAGTACCTACTTGATTTATCCCTTGCAGTGTAATGATATTCTATTAAACAATCCGAAATAATTCATAATCAGTGTGGCTCATTTGAAATTTTAAGGTTAGAATAATCCAATGCACATCAAATGCTGCTTCAAGAATACCTTTAATATTTAGTTCAGTTTGTGTTTAAATGACTTTGCTGAAACCAATGAAAAGTGTTTTTTGCAAGGATAAATCATCTCCACCATTCGAATTTGGCTGTTGGGCCATTGTTCCGTTGTTCCATTTTCATGAACTTTGTTCTGGGCGTGTGTACCTGGTAGATGCTACCTATATCTGTATATGTATATTTATCCCTATAAGTATGTCCCTATATGTCTTATGGGGCTCTAGTAGAAACGCTCGAACTTGGGCGGCTTGTTGAGTGCGCAGAAATAATACCCTGAATAGTTTTGTGTGGCGCCGGGTGGAGTGTAGTCGCTGATGCTGTAGTTCCCGTAGTCGTAGTTGCTCATGTGGGAGTGGCCGTGTGCGTGGGCCTGGTGGTGGTGCTGATGTGCTGCGTGCTGGTGGTGCACATGATGTAGATGATTCGGGTGCTGGTGCGGGGGGTGATAGTGCTGAAAACCGCCTGCACTGCGTGGCTTTTGTCATGTGAGGAGGCTGCTGCCACCACCGTTGCTGCCACTGCCGCTGCTGCTGCCATTGTTGTTGTTGTTGCCATGGACGCGCATGTGCCGATTGAGGTTGCCCGACTGCGAGAACCTGTGTGGGAGAGTGAGGAGTGGTCCGGTGGTACGGAAAAATCAGTTCCAGTTTAGCCTTTCGGCAGGGGAATCCCCGGGCTTTCGGCACTTACCTGAGCAGGCACAGCTTGCACTGGTAGGGCTTCTCGCCGCTGTGGATGCGCAGATGCTTGGTCAAGGTGGAGCTGTCCGAGAAGGACTTCTTGCAGGAGGAGCAACGGTACGGCCGCTCCCCGGAGTGCGTGCGCATGTGCGTGGTGACGCTGGAGCTCTGCGAGAAGCGTCTATCACAAATGGGACAGCGGAACGGCTTCTGGCCGGTGTGTGTGCGTACGTGGGCCGTCAGATTGGCGGCCTGGGAGAAGCTCTTGTTGCAGTCCGGACAGCGATACGGCCGCTCGCCAGAGTGGGTGCGTAGGTGCGTCTTCAGTGTGCTGGGCCGGGCGTACGTCTTCCCGCAGAGTCGGCACAGATTCGGCTTCAAGTCGCCGGCGGCGCTGCCGTCCCCATCCTCGGTGCTGTCCTCCCCATCGTCGTCGAAGGCAGATAGTCCCAGCCCCAATGCCGACGCCCCCACCTGGTACCCGCTCCCGGGGCTCTTGTGGGGCGGCGTGTAGCTCTGGCCTCCACCCACGCCCGCGGCATAGTAGCCCAGCGCGGCGGATGTGCTGGGGGCAGGCGGCGACGGCGACTCCTTGTCACCGACGGCCAGCGGCGGCAAAGATCCCAGTCCTGTGGGTGTCGGGACAGGCGCACGGAAGTCCGCCGTGAAAGAGTAGGTGGCCGAGGCAGGGTAGTGGGTGGGACTCAGCAGCGGCGGGTATAGCACATTCACCGCCGAGGAACTGCTGGGTGGCGTCCAGTTCATCTGTGAGCACTGCATGGGCACTCCTGTGCCGTCGGCGGCCCCGTAGCCGTGGTGCATGGTCATGTTCATGCTCACGTTCACACTCATGCTGGGGTACATGGCCGCTGCGGCTGTCGGGGCACTGGGTCCCGCCTCATAGTAGCACGAGCCGCTTCCGGGACCGCCTCCGTTGCTGCTGCTGCCTTGGAGGAGCGTGTTTCCGCCGTGCGATGCCTGGTTCTGCGCTTGCTGCGAGTGCAGGTGCTGGTGATGCTGGTGCTGGGATTGGTGGTTGCCATGTCCGTGCTGCTGGCCACCGTTGGGCGAGATGAGCATCTGGTGGGGATGGACGGTGTAGGACAGCGAGGCCTGGTGCGGATTGCCGGTGAAGTTGTAAGAGGCGCCGCACGGCGAGAAGGGGAACAGGCTGGGCAGCGGGTCAATGTCCAGGGGCGGCAGGCCGGGAAAGGTGGAAGCCATCTCGTCGGTGCTCCAGTAGCTGTTGCTGCCGTTGCCGGCGTTGTTGCCGCTACCTGCACCGGTGCCCGTTAGATTGCTGCTGCTGCTAGCCGGCGGAGTGGTGTTGATCTGGATGTGGCCACCGCCGCCGCTGATACCGATGCCGATTCCAACGCCGATGGTGGGATCGAAGCAGCCGCCGCAGTCGAAGTCGCTGCTGGTGAGCGAGGAGATGGGCAGGGCGGTGTTGCCTTGGCAGGACAGGCAGCCGACGCAGGATGCAGCGCACTCTTGCTGTGGATGGACGGATACGCGACCGGTTAGGACTTGACAGGACGAGCGGAAAAACGGAAATACCTGCGGACTGTCCAGCGCCAGGCCGAATAAGGGATTGTTGGGCACATAGCCCGTCTCTGGTTCCACGGGACCTCCGTTTGAGACATCGCACGATATGTACATAGCTCCACCCTCTTGATCTTCCAGGGAATCTGCGCAGGTGAGAGGACATGCAAAGGGGATAAGAAATCGAGTGGTTAGCCCGCTGGAAAGCTGTCAGAGATGCCCGCAAGCCAAGCGTATTCCCCAGGCACGTTTCGCGCGCGTTCCACCGCTGCAGCAACCACTGTGCGCTCAACGAAACTCCGCCCCTTGAGCCGCGCACGACTCGCACGCGCACACAAACGCAGACACAGAAACGAATACAGATGAATGCCAGCCCGCCATTTGCTTTGCTCTTCATGCGGGGTCTCTGTATCTGAATCTGTGTATCTGCGTGTGTGTAGCTCACAAACACACTCACCCAGAATTATGTTCAAGAGTCTGGAACCTTTATATAACAATCCCATGACATGACTCCAGTTCTGGAACGTTTGAAATCAGCGTTTGGCGTTTTGTTTCTGCTTTTCCTACGTTTCATGTTGTGGCCTTAGTTTCCAACTGAAAAATCAATTACAAATTAATCAACTGAAAATGATCAATCCTTTATCCGTCATTTGTATTTATTGGAAAAAGGAATGGCTTCTGTATTCTCAAAAAATAGGTACATACATATATAAATTAATAACAGGGCCCTTCTATCATTCTGGATTGTGCTCGGAAATCCTGAGTGAAATTTTAAGACTACATTTTTCATTTCACGTCTAACCAGAAATACTAATATTATTATATACGTTTGTTCGAATTAAGGTTCGTAAGTTTATTCGTACATATGTATATATAACCATTAAGATGCAAGATTGTTTTGAATTATTTGTACTTAAATTGAAGGAAGGAAAGGTTACAACGGATAACGAAGCTAAGTAATAAACCCGATTGATTTCATCTGCGTTATGAAAAAGATACTTATGAATATTATTAGACAAAAAAATAAAAGAATATAATGGACTCAATAGACCAATACGTCAAACATCGTATTCTGGTTCCTGCCTACAAACGCCCTAGAGCCTTGGCTTGGAAAATGTCTGCATGATAGCTGTGATACCACATTGAACAATTTTCCTCAAAACTACAATATAGGAGCACAGCCTAAAAGAGAATTTAAGTACCAGTACCCTGCTCAGCCGCACTAAGAGGCGAATTTGGAAGAAGAATGGAATTTGTTCCTGATGCAATATCTTTTTAGTTGTATAGTATAATGTATAGTATAATAATTCATAATTAATTAATAACATTTAAAAAAATTAAATATCCCTTCATTCTGAAATTATTTTGAAATGGGTCCAAAGTATTTTTTTTTACTACATTTAAATCGAAATTGCCACAGGAACGGTACAAAATTTAAAAATGTATCTGATTCAGTTCAAGTTTTAATTCCCATTTTTCTTTGCTTTAGTCAAGGATCAATTCGTTTTCTATTTAGTCCTACGAAGACAACACCAAAATGTAAATTTAAATGGCTTAAATATAAATATAAAAAAAATAGTGTTCGTTTCAATCTGGAAGTTTGGATATACTGGTATTAAATGGTTTTATGGTTACAAAAATCGAAACATAAATAAACATTTGAAAAAAAATTCTTCTAAAATGAAAGACTCAAAGACTGCTATTTTAGGTCGTGGCAGTCTAGGTGACTCCGATTCATACATACATATAACAATTTGTATTTACTCCATCTAATTCTTTACAAAGGCTAAACAAAATATATTACTTTCTTAGTTTTTCGTTAATGTTTCTTTTATAATTATTAATTATCCCTGATCTAGCCTAACAAAGTGAACCATAGCAATTGGAGCATATATGTAGCTGTTGTTTATTTAAATGATATTCTTTTTGCAAGTAGTTTTCGTATTTTCTCGAAAGAACACAATCTCCCTACAGATATCCAAAAGATCTTAAACCAGTTATTTTAGTTGTAATCCATAGGTCGATCAGGTTTGTTCTTGTGTCCAATGATTTTTCACCGATAGAGGATGTGACTTTTTGTTGGATACAACACTTTATTGGTTCTGCTTTAATTGAGATTGCAATACTTTTCCATTTTCGCACCTTCTGAATAGATTTGTCGATCTCATGATCTGTGGCACACAGAATTTACACTTTATTACAACATTCACAGATTTACACGAATTTTTTGTAGAACTATATTAGATGGTTAGATTTCGATTATTTTGATGTCGAATTGGGTTTCGGAATATCACACGATCGTTTGGGGGCTCTGTGGGGTTGTGGATGTGGAACTGTGTGGAACTGTTGTGCACGCTTTGAGTTCTGAGTTGGGTTCAGCGCCGAGTGCGGGGCAAGAAGCGACGACTTTTGGCGACGAGCATAAGACGGCAACTAATTGTCAGTCCCGGCTCGAGGCGTCTCAGCCCAATATCGTATCGACTGGCAGCAAAGCGACAACCACAGAGGAAGAAGCAGCAGCAGCAGAGGCTAGCGAACAAAAAAAAATACTCAGTTAATTACAAACAAGCGACAAAAGGGCGCAAAAGACAGGGCCGCAACAACAGTCTCACACTCTCGCTCGCACTCGCACAGGAGGAGGCAGATACGAGTGCGGTGCGGGTATAATGACACAAGTAGCCAAGTACCGAGCGCTACACATGAGTGGCACACACATCCCCTGCCTGCCACATACCCATCCCTGGCCGGCAACCACCACAAAGACGGCCAACCAATGCGCTCCAGCAACGGCAGTGCCGGCTTTTGCGGCTACTACCCTGTACCTCTACCCTCTTCCGATACTGACTCGACCCGACCCGTCACCGATCCCGCCCAGCCCCCGCACAAGCCAGTACCAGTGGCAGTCCCAGTCCCAGAGCCCGTCCCAGGCCCATTCATACGTAGCAGCAACAGCAACAGCAGCAACAGCGGCAGCAGTTTTCAGTAGTTTTTATTTGTCACCCAATATCTGTACGGCTCGACACCAGACACCAACCAGAGCTGGGATGTGGATGTGGAAAGGAAGGGCTGGACGGGGTCTGGCTCTGTACTGGCGACCATTGATCGATCGTCTTCGTCGGCATTCTGCTTCCTTCGTTCCATTCTTTTGTGGTTAAATGTGTTTCTGCCGCCTGACGACAGTCCATCAGGCCAAGTCAGCCACGCAACCCCCTGGCTGCCCCCTGGCTGCACCCCCTCTCTGCTTATGCTAATGCTTCTGTATCTTTGTATCTTTGGCTGCTGATTTCATTTGTAGCTCAGCCAATGACGATTTTGCATAGGTCTGTCTGTCTATCGATCGTTGCTCTTGTCGCACGGCGAGCAATTGCGAATAGTTTGACTGTCATCTGATATTCCGATTTGTGGTTGCAGCAGCCAGCAGCCAGCAGCCAGCAGCCGGCAGCCGAAGAGGAAGAAAACAGCAGACAAGAAATAACAATTATGAAATTCGATTGTATTAAGCTTTAAGCCGAGATATTCCCCATTTGAAGAGAGATCCCTGTTTAAGCCAAAAAGTTCACACGCCCAAAACCGAATTCACTCATTGACGGAATCAGTTGAGTGTAAAGGCTTTCAGTGATCTGATACACACATACGAGTACATGTATTGTAAAGACTCCCCCATATCATTTTACATCTGCGATGAGAATTTCAGGTCAAACTGAACATCAACGCCGCGTCGTGTGTGTTAAAATCAAAGTCTGACCAGATCCGAACCAGTTTTCGGTTCAGTCTCAGTCTCAGTCTCGGTTTCAGTTTCAGTTACAGTTTCATGTCAACAACTTGGTAAGGACCTGCCCGAATCCGCTCCGAGCCTGGTTCTACTGCTGCCGACTGTCAGAACGCATTAGGATCAGATCACGGATCAAGGCTCGCCTGAGCTCTGGCGCTGGTAGCCACGTCTGGCCGGGGTATCAATAGCAATTAGAACGCATCTCAGGTGGGTTCAGGTGTCAGCTGATCAAACGGCTATAGCATCACCCTCCGCTCTCACTCCCACTCCCTCTCTCTCAGTTAACCACAAAAGCCAAAGAATCTGTGAGTTTGTGGCAAATTAAGCAGAAGGGTAAACAAATTTGACCACCCTCTCGGGGACCTGTTATCACACCAGCTCATCAACATCATCGTCCACCTTATCAACCACCTTATCATCCACCTTCCCTCTATCCGTGGATGAGCACGTGAACTTGTTTGCTGAGAGGCTCAGCCGCGGTTGCTTCTGTTTACTTTGCGTATTTAACTTTCCAAACAATAAGAGGACATGATCCTGCTCTGCTGCTGCTGGTCCTCCGCCCAAACCACAGCACCACCTCCTCCTCCCACCCAGCTGGGACTCTAGTGTTGCCACCAGCAACACGAATTTTCACTCATGTTCCTTTTGCCTTATATATTTCTGTTCTGTTCTGTTCTGCTCTGTTCTGTTCTGTTCTTTTCTGTTCGGTTCTGTGTTCTGTTGTGTATTGGCGAGGCTTCAAAAATCAATGAAATACTTTTCGGGTGGCACTGGTGTGGCTTCCCTGGGTTTTGGCTGCGCTTTGCTTTTTATGCTGGCTGGCACTCAAGTCATTCAACATGTTAATGCCATTCGGTCATATTAGATGCCGGCTAAAATGAGCCAAACAGGCGCCCCCAACAGAGACATGGTGAAGGAGGAGGAGGAGAAGCAGTTGCAGAATGAAGGCAATTTCTGGCGCTTATTTCCACAATATTGTAGGTCTAGACTCTAGAGTAGCACTCCTTTTCCTAATTTATTAAGACGTCTCTCGAGTCTTTTAATTAAGTAACAATCAGCTCCTCTTTTTCCTCGAGTGGGTTTTGTGGTCAATAAACTATGTGTTAAAGGACTACCTTATCCACAGCAGCTCTTTTATGACTCTCAGTTACCAAAAAGCTATTGGAATATGAATTTAATCATTACACACTTAAAATACCATTTACAAATTAGAAAGCCTTCAGTTAGTAAGCTACTAATTCTATATATTTTATTTTAAAAGCAATCGAAAATTCAGGAACGAAATAATAAAGATTCAAAAAATTGTTAGGGTATGGTATAAGGGATCCCAATAAATGAATATTATTTTTTAACCCATTCAGCCCTTTAGTTCCTAAATTTGGAGTCTCAAAACTATGCCGATGAACCCAGACATTATTAATGGAATAAAAAGGAATTAAAGGAATCTCACGTATCCATCACTTGCTTTAGTCGTTTAAATCGAATGCATTTTTTCAATATTCTGCTTCTGCCTCGATTCTTCTTTTGGTTCCATTATTAAATAGTTAAAGAGTTCTCCGAGGAACGCCATCTTTTGTGCTTACATATATGGTATTTGGGAAGCCCTCGTCAAAATATCTACAACTGGAGTGCAATATATGGTTTCTATGATTACAATTTTGAAGTTATTCGACGCATTCAGTGAGAACAACTGCTCGGACTATACTACACCCCCGCCTCCAGGGAGTATCGATGACCGCTTGACAGGCACAGCCGTTGCCAGAACCAGGACCGAGCCTGATGAGCAGGACGAACAGAAGTCAGCACTGGTGCCCTGACAGCTGTACGAGCCGGGTTTGGATCGGATCGGGACTGTCGCATAACCCACTTCTTATTAAAAACCTAAGCCTGCTTATTAAATGCGCGCGACTTATTCAAAACCAGAAGGAGAGGGAGAGGGAGTGGGAGGACTGTAAAGGACTCTCTCCCCCACTCGAACTCGAAAAGGAGAAAACTACTTGAATTACAGTTGAACTTGGCCACAACAATGTCCGTCCTGCAGCTACACTTGAGTGGAGCGCGCCAAATTGAATTTCTGTAAGTCGATACTTTCTGGGGGGGATATTCGTTGCCAGAAGGAGCAGCAGCAGCAGAGGAAGGAGGAGCAGACCAGAAGGGTTTGTTCGTGTCTTAGTTTCCCTTATCAATAGACGACGACTGCTCCGTGTGACAGATACAAGCCAATGCAGCAATATAATGGGATTCTCTGTTTATTTTTTATTAGAGAATCACTTCCGCAAACAACTGAGGAGGAGATCCAATAGAGACAACAGGGATTCCCACAGTAGCGGGTAGAGGGCGTAGACGGACAATTATCTGCGGTGCTGACGTCCGTCAGTCACGTTCCGCTTTCAGCGATGCGTTTTTGGCAAACCGCAAATGATTATCCTGTAATCCTTTGGATAAATATTAAGTTTCAATTAGGCCTGTTAACATATTATTAGCCACCGATCATGATTATCATTATCATTATATTATCCTTGGCGCCGACACCGCCACCGCCATCGCCACTCACCGGCAGCGCAGGACACGTGCCAAACGAGGCGAGGCGGTGATAACAATCTACCGCAACCCTCTTCTGGCCCTTGAGCGAGGGAAAGCCGCAGCCGCAGCCGCAGTAGAAGATGCGACTGCAATTTTGTCAGATTATGTCTGCCAGTTAATTCCCCAGTGTACGGGTATATCCCTTGCCTGCCTCTTGCCTCCCCCGACCACCCCTGAATCGCTGCCCCTGCGCTGCCACGCCTCTTCAACAGGTGAGGAGCGCATTGTGTGAGAATTTTTCGGTCAGCAGTCCAGCTCTTCATCGCTTTCTCCTGTCCTACCATCCCCATCGGATCGGATATATCGGATTACATTACCCGATTGGCGCTGTGATTTGTCGCTTTTAATAATTCTCATGAACTGAAATTGAAACGATCCAACAGTCCTCTCCAGCAGTCCTGCCAGGCAATCACAAACCTCTCTAGAGGTGTTTCACTAGATTTTAATGTAACCAACTAAAAGATTGTTGAGACAGGTTACTCGAAGAGTTTAGAGATACATATATATTGATTTTGTGGCGATCTTGGCTGTGTTTAAAAAACAGAAAGAATCGTTTCGGATATATTCTTGATATACATATGCCTAGATCTCAGAGACTATAAGAGCTATAGAAACAAAATTATGTATTAATTGTGTGCAACTTTTTGTTCCATAGATATTTTTTATATGTGAACTTCCATTCTGGCGTTCAATAAAAATGGTGTAGCGCTATATTCACCAAAAATATAACAACAATAGAACGAAGATGGGAGAAGGAGATTGGGTAGGACTATCTGTATAAAAGTGTTTGTGATAATATATGAAATATTTAGCGTTAATTATTTAAATTATTAAATGAAAAAACCTTTTCTGTGTTTTTTTTTTTTTTGTAATAATTTTTACCATTAGCCAAGAGCGGGCCAATTTTATGGGAGACTTTGACGAACAACTTTTCTTAAAAATTATCATTCTTATAGGAAATAATAGTAATGGGAAATAAGACTATAGAAAAGTAAGCTAAAAGTTAATGAAATTATATATCATTTGGGTAAATTAGTTAACTTTTATAAGATTTAGGAAA